CACTTGGAAACCCGACAATCGAAAAAGTTCAACAGCTTAAAAAGCTTGTGAGGAAATCTCTGTATAACGACAATCTCGAATATTCTCACTACATGTAATCGGAAATAATTTCCTTTTCAGAAGTTTTCGAAATCTCTCTTACTGACAGCAAGTAGTGGCCCTGGAATGTTCAATAGACGAGTCGATGGACTTTCATAGCAACTCAACTTGTTGCTGGCTCTGGGTTTATTCTTTCATTTTTATACCCTGAACCCATTTTTAATGGGAAATCAGGGTATAATGGTTTTGTTGAAATGTATGTAACAGGGAGAAGGAGGCGTGGCAGACCCCACAAAGTATACATATTCTTGATCTGGGCGACGAGCTGAGTTGATTTGGCCCTGTCCGTCTGTCCGTATGTATGAACGCGTCGATTTCAGAAGATATAAGAGCTAGAGACCACAATTTTTTTTAAATGTCCGTAATTACAGCGCGNTCGATAAAAAACCCTTATCGAAAGACAGTTATAAAATTATATCTTCTACACCTTTATTGCTAGAGTCTCCAAATTTATGTATGCTTATATGCCATTTATGCAATTTCGGTTTTTGTTAAAATTTACCCCCCATCCCTATATCCACCCCCTCACCCACATGTTTGTAAAAAGCGTATTTCAGATACTAGGGACTTGTGCTTTGGCAAATACATGCATATCTATGCTGTAATCATAATCTGAAGATCGTATGTCCACAAAAAAAGTTATTAAACAATTAAGTTCTCATAGTAAGTGTACACTGCAGCCCATGCGTGTTTATGCGTGGGTGCTTGTGTGTGTATGTGTTTGTGTATGTGTGTGTGTGTGTATGCGTTTGTAAGTGTATGCGTGTGTCTGCGTGTGTCTGTGTGTGTATGCGTGTGTGTATGTCTGTATCTCGTAGTCGAGCAGTCTCGACAATAGCTTTCTTACTTGTTTTATTAAAAAGAAGTTAGAATGAGTATACCCATTGCTAAGTTTAAGCTTTAGGGTATCTGCTAGTCAGTTACTTATTATTTGCTTTTTTACCTTTTGGCTATGCTTGGCACACATCAAAGCTAAACTAAACGCCTAATCAGTCTTTAACAATTTTATTTAGATCTCACGAAATGCTCTTACGGAGTTTTCTTCTAATCTTAATCTTTAAAGCTGTTTAAGTGACGTTTTGAATACGAACTCAAGTTATTTATTGTTTTAAAAATATGTCCAATACAAATATTCGGATGTTCTGCTTGATAAGAACTGTTTTCTTTAAGTCTCAAATGCTAATGAACTCTAGTCAAGACGTTGTTATATTCGTTGATCTCTCTCAAGAGTTGAATACACACACACACATCTCTTGGATGCCATTTATAATTTAAAAATAATTAAAAACAATTTCAAGAGCTTGCAGAGCTCCCTTTTTTGCATGCATTATAAATCCATGTCTGTTTCAGTTTCTCGATTATACGCATCTTTGTTTGCGCTTCCTCATGGAGCAACAATCCATAAATTTGTTAAGCACTTCAACTGAAGAAGTTTAATTAGTTCATTTAAGCATGAAGTGAAATGACCCAAAGTTCTAAAATTATCACAAATCTCGTAATAACTCACCATTATATTTGAAAGCATTTTTGATTAAGTGAAACTGATTAAATATTCTGGGGCTAGTCAATTGATATATCTTGAAAGTTCTAATTTGCTTGCTCTTTACATAAATGCGGGAATTGTTAAACGAAGCATTTATTAAACAGGTTCAGAACGTTTCTGGCCTTTTGTTCATAGTCTTTGTCGTCTCAATTTTTTGCACCCTGCATATAAAGTGGCCTCTGCCACAAAGAGACAAAGGCGACTTGTGAAGTGAAAACGGAGTGATTCACCAGTCTGGTGTATAGCCATGACAGCCAAACAAAAATATACACATATCATATCTACAGTGTGATCGAGAATTAATAGTCTCTTCAAGCGTGTGCAGAACTGTTGCTAGTCGAGAGAGTTTAACTCGATACTACACTAAACGTAGTTTATATTTATTATGGATATTTCATATGGAAATGTATCTATATTTAAGTTGTATATATATATATATATATTTATGCCTTTTTTTTATCGTAAATTATATTTCGCATCTTTTCTGGATGCAAAACAGAAGTGAGTATTCAATGTTTAGCATTTAGTTGCAACGTCATGTGCATAGATCAACTGAGGTCATTAACCTGCTCAAATGCAATAGAGAAACTTGGAACAGTAAGAACTTGTTTTGCTTCAATCAGAAGTAAACCAATACACACATATATTTTTGCATACACATACAATCCATAAAACGATGTTTTAATTGCTTTGTGTTTAAAATATTGGGCAATAATCTTCTAGATAACAATCAAGTGAAATGTATGCTTATTTTAGCCCAGTTTTTGCATATGAAATTGGGTTATTCAAAATATTCTATATTTGTAGTACGATGATGGTAAAAATAATACGAATTTATAAATCGATTTTATTTATTTAAGAAAGAAATATCAATTCATTACATTCCATTTTCAAATTCAACTTTATAATAGGATTTCATACATTTAATGATTCTCAAATTTCATTTGGAAGCTGCGATTGGTTATACAGCTAATAAAACAAGTAAGAAAGCTCTAGTCGAGACTGCTCGACTACGAGATCCCCTGAACCCTTGGAGTGCTAGCTATTTCAATAATTTTTCGCGTCTTTCAGCTTACACAAGAAACACACACACATACACAAACACATACACATACAAGCACCCACGCATAAACACGCATGGGCTGCAGTGTGCGCTTACTATGAGAACTTAATTGTTTAATAACTTTTTTTGTGGACGTACGATCTTCATGAAACTTTCAGATTATGATTATAACATGAATATGCATGTAATTGCCAAAGCACAAGTCTCTAGTATTTGAAATANACGGACAGACGGACAGACGGACAGACGGACAGACAGACAGACGGACAGGGCCAAATCAACTCAGCTCGTCACCCTGATCAAGAATATATATACTTTGTGGGGTCTGCCACGCCTCCTTCTGCCTGTTACATACATTTCAACAAAACCATTATACCCTGATTTCCCATTTTCAATGGGTTCAGGGTATAAAAAGTAAATTTATTTACGGCTTTTAAAAAAGCTTGGTCCAAGCATTCATTAAATTACGTCGATTCCGAATCGAAATTTCGAGGCCTTTCTATTTTTCATCATCTACGAGCTGGCTGCAATTGGCAACTTTTGCAATAACTAAATAACAAATGTGACATGTGACTGAAGATTCCAATACTTGAGGAAAGTAATCTTGGAGACATACACCAAGCAGATCGAACATAAATACTATAAGGTCATATGACCTCTGACGTGTTCATCCAAGCGTATATGAAACAACAATAAATAAGATTAACGCTGTGGAACTGTTTCCAAGTAAGGACATAATTGATATTTTCTATTTGATACATTATTATTGAAGAAACACACATATATATATTGTCTATTTATTTGTAATCTATTTAAGCGATTCGGGGATTGTCATTGTAAATATTAGGCAGTGCCATTTTTGAAACGAGATTTTCCTTCTGTGCCAAAATGGTATTATCGATTTCGATATTTATTTATATAATATTTTGGAATATTGTGCATGTTAGTAGGATTCCTTACCGCTCACACACCTCAGCTGATGATACTAATTATTCTCCTCTCCCATATAGTAGCCCCTCTTTCACTCCACTCGATGTCGCTTGGCTCTAGAATCTCAATTAAGGAGTACGGCAACGCAATAAAAATATACAGTTGTTAGACGCCAAAGCAACAACGGAGTACCCCAGAGCCAACACGCAAGGCCTAGCCCATAGCCCGAACTATAGGCATACATGAGTTAAGTTCAATGCACTTTTCTGCCGGTTGCACATTGACGGCTACCTACATAGGTAAAACAATGAAGTCGCGTGACTTCTTAGCCACCAATACTTGTGTAAATGAAATAAATATATGAGATACTACATGCCGAGAGCCCACTAAGTACGAACACAGTCCAACTCACACTAATGCACACGGAGCTACCTTTCAGCTCTACATGCAAGTGTATTGGATAAATAGAAATGAGTGGATGGGATAAGTATCCAGAAACTTCTAAGGGTTGTTGCTCATGCCCGTCATCAATAGCCGATTCAGTTTTGGAGCACAATTTGTTCAGTTATTTTCCATTTTATAATACGCCTGAGTCAATCGCTAATGATTTTCATTTTACTTTTTTATGTTAAGATCAGGAATGCCGTGACTCACTTCTGCCAGCTACCACGGGGACATTTCATATTTGTCAACGCGACGTTAACTGTCCTGAAAGCGAAATATTTGTGAACAAGGGTCGAAGTCGAACCGGACGCGATATGTGTACATGCATTTGGACATGTGTACAGACATATAATCATTTTCGTTGCATTTGTGTGTGGGATATCGGTTGCCAAGGGTGTATATTTTACTGCTATGGCTTTCGGTGCAGCACAACAGAAAACTGTGGACGCCATTGTTGTTTGAAAGTAGTGATATATATATATGCTTGTAATTACTTAGAAATTAGAATCAAATACAATAAACGATGCGATCGTAAGGCTCGCTTACAAACTCTCGCAGTATAAACACACACATTCATTCAAATAAGCTGATAACATCAATACAAACATACAGTAAATTAGGTATGTTTGTATTGCAGCAGAAACAACATGCCATGCATACAGCCTGATGTGTGTATGTATTGCAGCAGATACAAGAATACATGCATGCATACACAGCACGTCTTTAACTCCGCTATCATTAAGAGGCTGATCGCAGATTACTTGGGAATGTCCATATATGCACAGTTCCACAAATACATCACTGTTCATGCATACAGGCATTATTAATACACGCTGTGCGTAGGTCGCTGCCAAAGGTTCTTAAGCATACATACAGACAATGCACCAACTGCAGATTAATATGGAAAGAAAAAGAACTTACTTGGTGTCAGATTTGTTGTCGGAGATTTCAAAGTTGGCGATCATTTTGAATGTTTTAGATGATTGGCTTAAGCTTTGTAAAATACGCTTTAAGTGAAATGTTTAATATCGCAAGAATGCCAAAGACTTTAAAATTTATTATTATATTGGTAAATTTAAAACACACAAATAAGCAGACCGGGAAAAAAGCACATCCGCACAGACTGTTCAATCGAAAAAGAATGAAGATTAATTCATCGATGTTTCAATTGGGTACATATCGGATAATTTCGCGGTCACACTTTTATGCTCACCTAGAACTGTTAGTCTGTTGTAAAACTATCTGTTATCTGTTTTTTTTTTTTTTCGATAATAATGAAAATCAGTTAAATAACAGAACATTATATCACTGAGTATTTTTAATATTATCATCAATCATATAACTTTAATACGGGTAGTGATATTATTAATGCCTACGATAGAAAAATAATCTCTTTTAACAGTGGAATCAATCATTTTTAAGTTGACTGTTATGCTCAGCTGGAAATGTTAACAACATATGATTCGATAGTATCGATCCATACTGTACAGTGCACGCTTGCGCGGCTAAGTATTTGTTCTGCAATTGAATTAGACGATCTCGTCGTCAAATGCAGTCATATACATATATTCAACCTTTAGACCACTTAAAGGTAGTGTTTTTAGGATAAAAATGTAAACTCTAAAATAAATAAATTTGTTGCCTATTTCGTAGATGCTTTTTCAAATTATCCCGCTATTCTCGTAACCATGTTAACGAAAAATCGAGGCAATGAGTAGAATTTTATCAGAACTGTAAAGTAGGCAATCAACACTAAAAGTTTTGATACGCGTGCACTTGAATAAATACGTACATCAAACAGTATTTAGATACAAAATATTTTATAAAATGTTAACAAAACTGTCAAAATATATTTTATATAATGTTAACAAAACTGTCAAAATAACACTTCAGTTAATATATTGAGTTTTTGAAACGACTCCACAGATGGTGCTTTCGAAGAGCACCTTTTATTTCTAAACAGCGCCATCTGTTGTGTATCCAATAGCGGCTTCCAGCTTGTTTCATTATCGAAAACAATATTCAAATCCCACAAATAACAAAAAGTTAACGAATACCGTTGAAGTACTGTGGACTACGCTTAGCAAATACACAAACCAAAAATCAACGTGTTGTGAATTCACAATGATTGCACTTTTAAGAAGTAAAATTGATGGAAAGCTTATTGCTATAAATAAAAGCAGCATCGTTCAAGCAGTATTTGTGTCATCTTTATACCCTGAACCCATTTTCAATGGGAAATCAGGGTATAATGGCTTTGTTGAATTATATGTAGCAGGCAGAAGGAGGCTTCAATATATGAGACTTCAATATCAGTTTATCATCAAAAATCGATAACTCATCCCGTTCTTTTTTTATCGATAAAAACCCTTATCGAAAATCAGTTATAAAATGATATCTTCTTCATCTTTAAGGATAGAGTCCCCAAATTTTAAATGAATACTTACATACACTTTATCCAATTTTGGTTTTTATTAAAATTTACCCCCCACCTCTATATCCACCCCCTCCCCACATATATGTAAAAGGCATATTTCAAATACAAGAGACTTGTGCTTTGGCAAATACATGTATATCCATACAATACAGTTATTAGACAATCAATTTCTTATAGGAAGCGCAAACTGCAGCCCATGCGTGTTTAGGCGTGGGTGCTTGTGTGCGTGTATGTGTGCGTATGCGTGTGTGTGTGCAATTTCCTGCAATTTCCAGCACTACTAACAGCTGTGAGAGTGAATGCACCTGATTTTTATTAATTGCGCAAGTGTAACGCCTAGTGACAAAATTTTTCGCGCTTGAAAAAGAAAAACAATGACGCTATTGCCCCCCTCTCTTGCACCACTGGATTCTACCACCGGGGTAYTCCAYGAACCGCCGCGCAGTAAGTCTCTGGTAGCTTTCGAGGTCGCTGGGTACGTTGCGCCCACAGCATACACGTTTTCTTTAGATATTTCCACTTTCGCAGGGAAAAACTCGGAWCAAGCTATAGTCAACGATGGATCACAATAACATCGACGGCACTCCACGAAAACGCAACTCGAACTATGTGTGTGCGTGTGTGTGTGTGTGTGTGTGTGTGTGCGTGTGTGCGTGTTTCTTGTATAAGCAGAAAGACATGAAAAATGATTGAAATAGCTATTGCTCGAAGGGTTCAGGGGATCTCGTAGTCGAGCAGTCTCGACTATAGCTTTCTTACTTGTTATACCCTGAACCCATTTTCAATGGGAAATCAGGGTATAATGGTTTTGTTGAAATGTATGTAACAGGGAGAAGGAGGCGTGGCAGACCCCACAAAGTATATATATTCTTGATCAGGGTGACGAGCTGAGTTGATTTGGCCCTGTCCGTCTGTCTGTCCGTCTGTCCGTCTGTCCGT